TTTATTAAAAATATTGAGTGCATCAGTGGATCTAGTCCTAATTACTTTTAATAATACTAAAGTTTTGAGATTAATACTAACGGGAAGATTTTATTGCATATTCAAAGTCATACAATATATTAGAGGTTAGTCTTTTAGGCACTTACATATGGTTTGATGTTTAAATATGCAATGTTAAGTCTCTTGTTATTATTGAATACTGAAACTTTGGTATTATCAAAAACAGTTAAGACCCACATTTGATCTTTAGAAAATTAAAGAATTTGACTTAGGATAATAATACTTGCTTCACAGACAATAACTTTTTTTTTCTTCCAAATCATACAAATTTTATATCTCTCTGAGAAGCAAAATAGTTTCATCAAACAAAAATTTTTTAAAAATTGAAATATTTGAGGATAAATTTTAAAAATTAAGAACCCACAAAAAAAAAAAGTGTGCTCTCTATCATAAGTTACATTATTATTAGTTATCACAAATAAAAATGATTTAATTAATTTCAATGATTAAAATCTGATAATGAGAAGTTTTAAAAATTATACTTGGAGTACTGAATGACTTAAATCGCACATATTTTTCTGTTTATTAAGTGAATTTTACAAATTATGACTTATTTTTAATAAAATTATCACCATGTCTGAATTAAACCAAATATAAAATGATAAGAGTATCTTGGTTAGTCAATGAATTTTTAATTTATTTACTGAGTAATATATCTATCTTTTTTAAAATTAATTTAAAGTTATTAAAAATAATATCTGGCTTTATAAAACAGTATTTTTTTATTTATTATACAAATGCTTTTAGCTTATTTAAGCCTTCTTCAAGTCCAGATCTGAAAGATTATAGCTGAAATTTGTAAAGATTGTAATTCAAATTTAAAATTACATTCTTTTCAATCTGGTTCTGAAGATTTAAATTAACTGAAAGCATTCATACAATAAATAATCTCTGATTTTAAAAGCAATATTTGTTATTTTTACATTACTTAACATCAATAGATAGTGTGATCTAAAATTCCATGTCATTTGTCCTTTGTTTTATGGCAAGCTAATATAGCAGTTTATTAGAATAATTAATAAAATCACATATAACCACAATATTGTATTATTTTTCATTTTTATCATAAAAGTAAAAAATAAATAATTTATTAAAATATAATTATATTAAAATGATTTAATACCTTCTTCTTTCTGCATCTTGAGGGTCTGTGCCAGGAAGACTAACGGTAATAGATGAACTGGATGCAATGTTATATTTTCGAACTGGTTTCCTGCATATTTTGATGCGTACCAAGAATTCAAAAATGGTATTTCCTATCATAGCCAATGGAGGCTGTAGAACATTTGGAAAAAAACTAGACAGGGAAAAATTTAAATTACAAATAAAGTTTTCTATTTTTTTTATTAAATAAAACATTGGTAATAATTATAATGATAACAAAAAAGTAATGAAGAACCAGCAAAAATTTATCAATATATTTCACTGTATATCAGTAGAATATTGATACATTTTTAAATCAAACAAATTATTAATAACAACAAGTGAATATAGTTTATATTAATTTATATAAACTAGTCTTCATTATTAAATTATGTAAATAATGCACTTCCTCTACTGCATTCACAAATCACTTTCTCTAACAAAACTGCTATCTTATTGAAATATGCATATTTTATGAAATTTTTATCATTCAATATTTATATAATAATCTCCATTTTTATTCAAAATTACTCCTATAAATATTAATAATAAATGAATGAACTCTCTTTAGAAATGTAATGTTTATTATGAAGTAATAAAATACAATAAGTATCAAAAACTTGCTCTTCCAATAAACTTGACTTAACTACTTTTACATCTAAATGATATATTTGTCTTAAAACAAGTTGTTCTAACAAGTGAAAATAAAACCTTAAAATTCTTTATTAGATGAACTAAATTCTATTATTAGAATAACTTATCCAATCTGAATAAAATAATTAATTGTCACTATCTTTGTTCCTTATTTGTTTTCAGAAGAAATAAACTGAAAAATAAAAAAAAACCTCATCTTAAAGGTTTAAGTTTTTTTAATAATATAAATTTCTAAAAATAGATTCAGCAGTTCAATTATAAAAAAAAATATTTACAAAGAATTTGATAACATTCAAAAAACAAAATTCCATTACATTTCCTGCTAGAGAAAAATTCACAGATTTTACAATTTCCTCCTTTCAATACTTTCTATCCTAAATAAAGTATCAGAATTTTGTTTCAATATATTTATTATTATATAGCTCTTCTGTAACAAATGTAGTAGGTATGTAGGAAATTAAAACTATATATTGCTGGTTAGATTGTTTAAGCAGATTTTAGACTTTGACCATGATCTATATAGTTAAAGCCAGCGATTACAGAAAAATCTGTTTGGCATAAATAAAATATCTTCTTATATTTTATTTATGCCAAACAGATCAGATATAAATCTCATCTCATCCATAAAACAATTACTAGAAAAAAATTTTTTTATATGTTCATAGAGAGATCTATTATCTTTAATATTTATTTCTTCTTGCAACATAAATTATCTGTTATTTAAATAAGTATCATACATTTTCATTTTTTAAATACAGTATCTACATTTTAGATATGACTGATCAGAATTTAGATATGAATAATTTTATCATATTTGCAATTAAAAAAAACAAATGATGAAAAACTGAAATTATAAAGATAAAAGTTTATATAGATCTATATTTTATATCAAATTGGATATAAAGCTTTAAAAATTTGGTCACAAAAATAGAATATTTATAATTATTTTTGCAATAACTAAATATTATTTACATGACACTTCCAAATAAATATTTAATCTTATCAATATCTTTGCTTTCTATTTATAAACCAAAAAGATGGGCATGCAAAACAAGTTATATCCAATTTTTTAACAACTGCAGTTTTATTATTGCACTATACCTTACTCTGAATAGTATTGATACTTTCAACATATAGCCATACAGAGTATGTGTAGTAAGAGTACAACAACCATGGCTGAGCCCACAGTGAGTGAAAATTTAGAACTGTGTATTGAAAATGGAAATAAATGAACTAAAAAAATTAAAAGGGATAAAAGAAGAAAAAAAGATGTAATTATTTCTCTGAGGTAGAATGCACTTAGAAACATCATTGGCAGCACAAAGATGCATCATTATTTGGATGTTGCAAATTGAGAAATGACGTATTGATGAAAAGTCATTGGGATAAATTTTTTTTTTCTGCTTTTTCAGGCCATGTTTTCTTGTGAAATTTTGTTATTTTATTTTGAAACGAATTTTTGTTTAGATAAAAGATGATGGCTTTTGCTTTGTTTGAATCCAACATCATTACACTATCATTTAAAAAATTAATTTAATTTATAACAAAAGTAAAAGTGAACTAGAAATAAAACTGATAGCAAGTTATATTTTGATTTTTCTAAAACAATTGTTTTTCATTGTAACTTTACTATATAACTATGAAAAAGTCATTGCTTCAAAGTGAGTTAAAGTGAGTTAAATCCACTGTTAACTAAGTAAAACAAGTTATATCCCATTTACTGTGCAAAATAAGTTAAATGCAAACTATTTAAAAAGCTTAATGAAAACACCAAAACATAACTTAATATGACATTTATTACTTAACATATCATAGCTCCTTGTCCACTTAATTAAAAAGTATGTGCTTACATCACCATAAGAAATTTTACTTTTATTCAAATTATTTATATTGATATTCCTTCAATTTTTTAAATATAAATTAAATTATTACATTATTAGTTAATTGGAAGTTAGATTTACCAAATATTTCTAGAATGTACTTTACCCTTTATCAATTAAATTGATTTTGCAACAGAAAAATTTACTAACTTCCATCTTCATTTTTGCAACAGATATTTTGTCTAGAATTTATATATTTACATTCAAAATTAATTGCCTTTATTTATCAAATCATTCTTAATTTTTACATATTGATATAAGTACCATTAAATATAATAATTAATTAAAATTTTGTAAAGATTTGTTTTATGCAAAACAAATCATTTCATATAATCATATTAAAAAAATATGATAAAACAATTAATGTAGGAAATGCTAACTGTATATTTCAATAGTGATTATTTAAAATTTTTCTTTTATTGTAAAACCCATGACAAAATTTCTAATTTCTAAAACTGTTTACTTCTTATAACATTATTAAGCATAAAGTGATCAAAAATAATGTTCCACAACATGATACAATTACAGTATCAGCAATTTTGTGGAACATCAAAACTTGTTGAAAGAGAAAGATCTGATTTTGTAAAATTGCTCAAAAATGTTAATTGTTAATCATTAAACATTGTAGCATACTAATTATTCCACAAATTCAAATATAATCTAATGTTATACTTTTAGATTTCTACTTTCTGCAATAATTTATTTTTTATTAATGTCATATATGCTTCTCAAATTTTGTGTTCACAAACCAATTTTTTTTTCCATTCTAATCCTTTGCTGACCAATATTTTTGTGAAATTAAAAGTATTTATAGAATAAAAAGAATAGGGTTCAAATATACTTGTTTATTTTTATTTTTAAACTGAATTATTAAGAAAATGATAACTGATTTTAATCATTTTCAAGTAATTTCCCAGCTGATAATAGTTTAAAATTATGAAATTTTAACTGAAATCTCATTTCAACCAAGTAATAAACTGCAGACCAGCATTAATCCAAATACCACAGTTTGAGTAGCACAGATATAAACCATTCCAGAAAACAATTTCTCCTATTACTTTTTTATATATTAAATTACTTCAGTCAAGTTTACCTTAGATAGCCAAAATGGCAGTGCTTCAATTAGGTTCATCTCATTTCTGTTAGATTAGCTACATCTTTAGTAGACATTTCCTTTTTTTTTATTTTGTTTAAGAATTACCGTGAATCAATAAATAGTGATGTTTGGCACTCAGCGGCTTGCCAGCGGTTTCCCTCCGGGAGGAGTCTGTCTAGACCACAAACAGTCGGAACGCAGCCATGTTGGCTACCTAAGGTAAATCTTACCCTTCAAACAAATACACTTTAAATACATTTTTGGACATATACTGTTTTAGGTAGAGCATTTTTTCCCTCCAAAAATAACATTTAAAATGATTTTTGTTTAAGCATAACATAAACCAAAATACATTTACTTTCCTGGGGTTTTAAGAATCTTTAATGTTTGCATTCCATCATTTTCAAGCAGATGGTACTCATTGAAAGCACTAGAACATAATTAAAGATTTTTAAAACTCCCAAAAATAAAGTATATTTTAGTTTAATAAGGAACAAGAATAATGAATTATTGTATGCAATATCTAAACATTCTCGAAAGCTGAAACAATTGACTAAAAACACTTCACACCTCTTATACGTACTCAGCATACATAAAAAAATTTAATGAATGCACAAATGTTTTTAGCCACATTAAGGGGCCTTCAACAGACTAGAGCAGGGGTCGCCAAAGTGGTCTATATCGACCCCTAGGGGTCTATATAACATTATTAGGGGTTGACAAAAAGACTAAAGCTTACAAATTTTGGACTGAATATTGATAATCTTGCTAAGGATTATCAAGCTTATCCGTCTCATTGATTGTCAATTACAAAAATTATTATTAACATATGTACAATAAATGTAAAAAATGTAAAATTAAAAGATATATATTAAAATAGTAAGAGCTTTTTTTTGCTTGTAACACAAACTTTTTGGTGGGGGTCAACATGAAGTTTCAAAAAGTTGTAGGGGGTCGACGATCTAAAAAGTTTGGCGACCTCTGGGCTAGAGAATCATTTTTAACAGTTCTCATCTGATGAAGGACCTTAAAGTGGCCAAAAACACTGTGATTATTAAATTTATATGCTGGAATAAGTATAAGAGGTGTGAAGTTTTTTTTGGTGCGTGTAATATAGGAAAGAATAATAATAAGGTACAGTTTAACATCAAATAACAGTTTTAATTCAGTTATTAAACTTAAAAATAAAAGAAATGGTAGATATATACATACCTTGCAAATGCAAAATGATCAGCCATATCACCTCTTGTACCATTGGTATGATGTTGATAAAACCTCAGATACACCCAAGAGGTGAGTAAACCAGCAGTAAACATGACCGGATAAGTGCTTTGTACCAATCCTAACAGGCAGAGGATTAGGCTAAGCAGTAACACGCACAGGGGCACGTTTCTGTTCCGAAGTTTACCGAGAGGCATGGATAGCAATACGTGATCGGGCATGATTTGTTTGACGGCCACGGCCACCCCCGCACAATACCCAGCTAAGCCATTGACGTGGACATCGAATAAATATTGATGGTCCGAAGTTGTGGTGTATACAATTATATAGAACATGACTGAGAGGAATGCAACACTGCTGTTTACTATAGCGAAGAATGTGAGCATCTCCAATGCTCCCCAAAGAGGTTCTATCAGTTTTCCACATAAGCCAACTGTTATTATATCGGTGAGAACTAACCATATTCTCTTCTCTAAGAANTGTTTACATTTCCTGTATTTTATTTCCTTGGTAGTGCTCATAGCGGAGCCAAGGTATGCATTTATGCCTCCGTAAATAAATTGAATTGAATTGAAAAAAAAAGGTTCTATCTTCGTCCTTTGCCCACGTATCCTCCGAAAATTATAGACCTTCGTTGAGAGAAACTTGGAGAAATTCCGATCTGCATTCACCAGACATCGTTTCCTGTTCGAGAACTTGGTCTTAGAATGCAACATCCGGTCAGCGAATGGAAACCATTCCGGTCTCCGGACTTTCCTCTTCTTCTTTAGAAGATTGCGCGCCGAAACATACAGGGACTTCAACCCTTGGTAACAATAGTACAGTACTTTTATTGTAAATTATGTTGTATGTAAACGAAGCATCGATCTCTAATTCAACCGCTCCCACATATGGTTGACTGTTACCGTTCGGAAGTCTATACGATAACAATAAATCTGATATAATCGTTTTTGTAAATTTATTTCACCCCGGCAGCCTCACCAGATTAAGAAGAGACAATGTACAGTACTGTATATTTTCAAAATATACAACATATATATATATTTGTGTAAGAAACAGAACAAAAGCGAGGTTGCGGCCGAAGTTTTCAACGCGAAAACGTGTACGTCGGACGTTCAGCGCCGCCTTCCTGTAAACCTAGAAGTTGGACAATGGCGTTTTGAACGTCAGTGGAATCATGCTCGACGTATCAAACGCCATTGTTAAACTTCTAGGCTTACAGGAAGGCGGCGCTGAACGTCCGACGTTTTCGCGATGAAAACGTCGGTCGCAACCTCTCTAATATTAGTAACGGGCAGCGTTACCACTCCTTGGTTTTAAAACCCAGATCTGGGTTTTTCGATCTTCTCTTGGTTTCCAGGTTGTTTTTTTTTTCTAATTTTCGTAAAATATGTTTTTTTTAAATATGACTTAAAATAAAATGACTTAAATAATAAAAAAATTAGATTTTAGAAACAAAAACGAAAAGCATGGTACTGTACTGTACTTTATTTGCTGAATCCTGAATCACGTGGAGTTAAAAACACTCAGATACACTTAAGCACCTGATCAAGCTATGAAATCATACCCCGCAATGATTTGCTATCATGACACAAGCAACATCATCTTAACTCCAGCTACTTAATTAAAAATCAGGATGGCTTACGTGTATTTTTAAATTAAAATATATCGCTTTATGCAATAATGTTTGCAACACTGTGGTTTAAAAATGGAGAAAGTAGTAATATTTTTTATTCTTAAATATGGGCATGATATATATATGTTGTATANAACGAAAAGCGTGGTACAGTTGACCCCCTATAACACTGTTGATTTTTCCGTTTTATATGAATTCCATGTTGTACGAGTCACTTAGAGTTTACAAATACGTGAGCCGTTCACAGCCCGTGTGTTTGTAAAATCTAAGTGACTCGTACAACATGGAATTCATATAAAACGGAAAAATCAACAGCGTTATAGGGGGGTCGACTGTACTTTATTTGCTGAATCCTGAATCACATGGAGTTAAAAACACTGACATACACTTAAGCAACTGCTCAAGCTATGAAATCATATCCATATGATTTGCTATCGTGACACAAGCAGCAACATATTAACTCCAGCTACTTAATTAAAAATCTGGGTGGCTTACATGTATTTTGAAATTAAAATGTGGAAAAACGAACTTAACCAGTTAGATAACGAATGACGATCATTTCGTTTAGCAAAAGATTTGGTCATACAATATAATAGTGTACCAGAATATTGGTTCTTGTTGCGCAATATACAGGATGGTTTTGGTAACTGTAAATATGCCCTACTATCTCAATTTATGACGCAGCTCACAGTTCTTCCACATTCCTCAGCCAGTGTCGAGAGAATATTTTCGCAAATGAACAACATTGAAACCAAACAAACTAACAGGTTAACTGTTGAATCGTCAGAGAACAGGATGATCGCTAAACAAGCAATCAGTAGGAAAAAATCTTAGCTGTTCGCTGTATGAATCGGAACCTAAACTAATTAGAGATGCAGTACAACGAGTTTGCCACCAAAGGTATAAAAATCGACAAGAAGAGCATAAAGATTGTTAATGGAAAAAGAAGAACAGACTAGCTGTGAAATAATATTAGCTACTGTGTAAATTAGGTAATAAATGGTTTTTTAAATTTGTATTATAATGTCTGTAATTATAACAGCATGAATGTACTATGATAAAGTATTTATAATTATATTTTAAATCACGAATTTTACTGGGTAAATAATCTGGGTTTTTTCCATCCAGACCCAAGTTTTTTCATATGTCGCGAGTGGTATCCCTGGTAACGAGTAAATAATGCACACTATTGGGCATTAAGAAATGCTAAGTATTCGGAAAATACCGTTGTGGAAAGTTTTTCTAATTTTGGATTTGTAATGGGTTGACAGAGGTCCACCCAATCCAAGTGCAATGACCGCACTCTGCAACGAGACGTGCCAACGTGGACCCGCAACGCCCTCAGGTGTGCCGCCTGTGACCCGCATCTCCCTGAGATCGCTTCCCGGGACCGCATTGCCTCGAGACAATAATTTCCGGGTCCGCGCTCTCAGGTCCCGAGAGAGGTACAGGTGGTACGAAGCGGAACAGGAATTTCTGCTTTGGTTGGTAATCTTTCTGCACTTTTATTTCCCGTTTCAATGAGTCACACTGGTGTCTTAAAACCAGAAACCATTTATTTATAAATGCACTTCTCAAATCTTCGAGCTCTCTTCAAAATCCCACCGGAAACATCTTTCTCGTAAGAATTGTTTAAAAATATATCGCTTCTTCCCATAAATATTTCAAATTTCCTCGCGAAATTACATAGGTGGTTGTTATTGAGGTAGTGAGGTTTGAGGTTCTAAGCAGCGCAGCATTGACACCGTTGAGAAGTTGGTGACGCCATCTAATAGCGGAAAGACTTAGTGCATTTTTGGAAATAGTTGGCTAATGTTGTTGAGCACAGTTGAATAGGTTATTTGTATGCAATCACTTAATTTATTGATGGTTTTTTTAGTTTGGCTGATTTCCTACGGAAAATCAACCAAACAAAAAATACCTGTCGAGTGTCTTGAAATATCGCGCAGTCATCGATACGTGTAGGGAGCAAGGACTATATACTACAAGGATAGCCAGATCCTTATTCTACAATGTTAGCCAGGAATGACAAGTTAGTGACGTCAGCACGAGGCCTGACCTCTCTGTTTACATAGAGCAGGGTGTGCACGTGTTTANTAAGTATCAAAAACTTGCTCTTCCAATAAACTTGACTTAACTACTTTTACATCTAAATGATATATTTGTCTTAAAACAAGTTGTTCTAACAAGTGAAAATAAAACCTTAAAATTCTTTATTAGATGAACTAAATTCTATTATTAGAATAACTTATCCAATCTGAATAAAATAATTAATTGTCACTATCTTTGTTCCTTATTTGTTTTCAGAAGAAATAAACTGAAAAATAAAAAAAAACCTCATCTTAAAGGTTTAAGTTTTTTTAATAATATAAATTTCTAAAAATAGATTCAGCAGTTCAATTATAAAAAAAAATATTTACAAAGAATTTGATAACATTCAAAAAACAAAATTCCATTACATTTCCTGCTAGAGAAAAATTCACAGATTTTACAATTTCCTCCTTTCAATACTTTCTATCCTAAATAAAGTATCAGAATTTTGTTTCAATATATTTATTATTATATAGCTCTTCTGTAACAAATGTAGTAGGTATGTAGGAAATTAAAACTATATATTGCTGGTTAGATTGTTTAAGCAGATTTTAGACTTTGACCATGATCTATATAGTTAAAGCCAGCGATTACAGAAAAATCTGTTTGGCATAAATAAAATATCTTCTTATATTTTATTTATGCCAAACAGATCAGATATAAATCTCATCTCATCCATAAAACAATTACTAGAAAAAAATTTTTTTATATGTTCATAGAGAGATCTATTATCTTTAATATTTATTTCTTCTTGCAACATAAATTATCTGTTATTTAAATAAGTATCATACATTTTCATTTTTTAAATACAGTATCTACATTTTAGATATGACTGATCAGAATTTAGATATGAATAATTTTATCATATTTGCAATTAAAAAAAACAAATGATGAAAAACTGAAATTATAAAGATAAAAGTTTATATAGATCTATATTTTATATCAAATTGGATATAAAGCTTTAAAAATTTGGTCACAAAAATAGAATATTTATAATTATTTTTGCAATAACTAAATATTATTTACATGACACTTCCAAATAAATATTTAATCTTATCAATATCTTTGCTTTCTATTTATAAACCAAAAAGATGGGCATGCAAAACAAGTTATATCCAATTTTTTAACAACTGCAGTTTTATTATTGCACTATACCTTACTCTGAATAGTATTGATACTTTCAACATATAGCCATACAGAGTATGTGTAGTAAGAGTACAACAACCATGGCTGAGCCCACAGTGAGTGAAAATTTAGAACTGTGTATTGAAAATGGAAATAAATGAACTAAAAAAATTAAAAGGGATAAAAGAAGAAAAAAAGATGTAATTATTTCTCTGAGGTAGAATGCACTTAGAAACATCATTGGCAGCACAAAGATGCATCATTATTTGGATGTTGCAAATTGAGAAATGACGTATTGATGAAAAGTCATTGGGATAAATTTTTTTTTTCTGCTTTTTCAGGCCATGTTTTCTTGTGAAATTTTGTTATTTTATTTTGAAACGAATTTTTGTTTAGATAAAAGATGATGGCTTTTGCTTTGTTTGAATCCAACATCATTACACTATCATTTAAAAAATTAATTTAATTTATAACAAAAGTAAAAGTGAACTAGAAATAAAACTGATAGCAAGTTATATTTTGATTTTTCTAAAACAATTGTTTTTCATTGTAACTTTACTATATAACTATGAAAAAGTCATTGCTTCAAAGTGAGTTAAAGTGAGTTAAATCCACTGTTAACTAAGTAAAACAAGTTATATCCCATTTACTGTGCAAAATAAGTTAAATGCAAACTATTTAAAAAGCTTAATGAAAACACCAAAACATAACTTAATATGACATTTATTACTTAACATATCATAGCTCCTTGTCCACTTAATTAAAAAGTATGTGCTTACATCACCATAAGAAATTTTACTTTTATTCAAATTATTTATATTGATATTCCTTCAATTTTTTAAATATAAATTAAATTATTACATTATTAGTTAATTGGAAGTTAGATTTACCAAATATTTCTAGAATGTACTTTACCCTTTATCAATTAAATTGATTTTGCAACAGAAAAATTTACTAACTTCCATCTTCATTTTTGCAACAGATATTTTGTCTAGAATTTATATATTTACATTCAAAATTAATTGCCTTTATTTATCAAATCATTCTTAATTTTTACATATTGATATAAGTACCATTAAATATAATAATTAATTAAAATTTTGTAAAGATTTGTTTTATGCAAAACAAATCATTTCATATAATCATATTAAAAAAATATGATAAAACAATTAATGTAGGAAATGCTAACTGTATATTTCAATAGTGATTATTTAAAATTTTTCTTTTATTGTAAAACCCATGACAAAATTTCTAATTTCTAAAACTGTTTACTTCTTATAACATTATTAAGCATAAAGTGATCAAAAATAATGTTCCACAACATGATACAATTACAGTATCAGCAATTTTGTGGAACATCAAAACTTGTTGAAAGAGAAAGATCTGATTTTGTAAAATTGCTCAAAAATGTTAATTGTTAATCATTAAACATTGTAGCATACTAATTATTCCACAAATTCAAATATAATCTAATGTTATACTTTTAGATTTCTACTTTCTGCAATAATTTATTTTTTATTAATGTCATATATGCTTCTCAAATTTTGTGTTCACAAACCAATTTTTTTTTCCATTCTAATCCTTTGCTGACCAATATTTTTGTGAAATTAAAAGTATTTATAGAATAAAAAGAATAGGGTTCAAATATACTTGTTTATTTTTATTTTTAAACTGAATTATTAAGAAAATGATAACTGATTTTAATCATTTTCAAGTAATTTCCCAGCTGATAATAGTTTAAAATTATGAAATTTTAACTGAAATCTCATTTCAACCAAGTAATAAACTGCAGACCAGCATTAATCCAAATACCACAGTTTGAGTAGCACAGATATAAACCATTCCAGAAAACAATTTCTCCTATTACTTTTTTATATATTAAATTACTTCAGTCAAGTTTACCTTAGATAGCCAAAATGGCAGTGCTTCAATTAGGTTCATCTCATTTCTGTTAGATTAGCTACATCTTTAGTAGACATTTCCTTTTTTTTTATTTTGTTTAAGAATTACCGTGAATCAATAAATAGTGATGTTTGGCACTCAGCGGCTTGCCAGCGGTTTCCCTCCGGGAGGAGTCTGTCTAGACCACAAACAGTCGGAACGCAGCCATGTTGGCTACCTAAGGTAAATCTTACCCTTCAAACAAATACACTTTAAATACATTTTTGGACATATACTGTTTTAGGTAGAGCATTTTTTCCCTCCAAAAATAACATTTAAAATGATTTTTGTTTAAGCATAACATAAACCAAAATACATTTACTTTCCTGGGGTTTTAAGAATCTTTAATGTTTGCATTCCATCATTTTCAAGCAGATGGTACTCATTGAAAGCACTAGAACATAATTAAAGATTTTTAAAACTCCCAAAAATAAAGTATATTTTAGTTTAATAAGGAACAAGAATAATGAATTATTGTATGCAATATCTAAACATTCTCGAAAGCTGAAACAATTGACTAAAAACACTTCACACCTCTTATACGTACTCAGCATACATAAAAAAATTTAATGAATGCACAAATGTTTTTAGCCACATTAAGGGGCCTTCAACAGACTAGAGCAGGGGTCGCCAAAGTGGTCTATATCGACCCCTAGGGGTCTATATAACATTATTAGGGGTTGACAAAAAGACTAAAGCTTACAAATTTTGGACTGAATATTGATAATCTTGCTAAGGATTATCAAGCTTATCCGTCTCATTGATTGTCAATTACAAAAATTATTATTAACATATGTACAATAAATGTAAAAAATGTAAAATTAAAAGATATATATTAAAATAGTAAGAGCTTTTTTTTGCTTGTAACACAAACTTTTTGGTGGGGGTCAACATGAAGTTTCAAAAAGTTGTAGGGGGTCGACGATCTAAAAAGTTTGGCGACCTCTGGGCTAGAGAATCATTTTTAACAGTTCTCATCTGATGAAGGACCTTAAAGTGGCCAAAAACACTGTGATTATTAAATTTATATGCTGGAATAAGTATAAGAGGTGTGAAGTTTTTTTTGGTGCGTGTAATATAGGAAAGAATAATAATAAGGTACAGTTTAACATCAAATAACAGTTTTAATTCAGTTATTAAACTTAAAAATAAAAGAAATGGTAGATATATACATACCTTGCAAATGCAAAATGATCAGCCATATCACCTCTTGTACCATTGGTATGATGTTGATAAAACCTCAGATACACCCAAGAGGTGAGTAAACCAGCAGTAAACATGACCGGATAAGTGCTTTGTACCAATCCTAACAGGCAGAGGATTAGGCTAAGCAGTAACACGCACAGGGGCACGTTTCTGTTCCGAAGTTTACCGAGAGGCATGGATAGCAATACGTGATCGGGCATGATTTGTTTGACGGCCACGGCCACCCCCGCACAATACCCAGCTAAGCCATTGACGTGGACATCGAATAAATATTGATGGTCCGAAGTTGTGGTGTATACAATTATATAGAACATGACTGAGAGGAATGCAACACTGCTGTTTACTATAGCGAAGAATGTGAGCATCTCCAATGCTCCCCAAAGAGGTTCTATCAGTTTTCCACATAAGCCAACTGTTATTATATCGGTGAGAACTAACCATATTCTCTTCTCTAAGAAGCAATGAGTGAAAGCAGTCCACACCCAGAAATTAGGAGGAATGATAAAGCCAGGAGTTACGACTATACAACGTGTTATAGAATTACTGTAAGAGAGAAAATAACAAAGAAATACTGTTACGCATATAAATTTAACGACTACGCTACTGTTTTTCAACGCTGCAGAAAACTGTTGACGAAAATAAGGTAAATTCCTCCGAACTACGACCGAAGGAGCCATTTTGACGGCCATGTTACTCGATGACGTCACCTAATCAAATTTGTGGCGACTTCTATATATCGAAAAATGTTTACTTATTAATAATATTTTATATATTTTTTCTTATTTAAAAAACTTAAAATTAAATAAATATTACATTTCTAATTAAAATGTATATTAATTTATTATATAAATTATTTATAATTTATAAAAGAACATTATTATATATGTAAAGTATTTTAATTTTTAGTACAAAATGAATTACTGTATTATAATCTGTATCCGTTGTAGCGCATTCATTCGGACGGCTATAGACGATTTCTATTCTATTATATATATTTCAGACACAGTAAAATTAAAATACTTTACGTTAAGCGATAAAATATTTTTTTCTTTAAGTATCATGAAATTCTTTAATGTTGATTTTTATATCTAACTAGCTGCAAGGACCCGCTTCGCTGGGTTTTTATTTGTTCGTACATTTGTATGTAATATAGTTTTTTTATATATATAAAAGACTGTTTTTCTAAGTAATCTAGAATCTAGCTGCAAGGACCCGCTTCGCTGGGTTTTTAAAAAGTAACGATAGTGAAGATTAAGATAATTACATTATAGCCAATCTTACCCGTTTTCACAGAATGCAAGAATTAG